GCTGAAAGCCCTATGAAGCGGTATATAAGTCTAATAAATAAAATAAATAAATAAATAAATTGAACATAGTAATAAACTACAAGGTGGATTTGTTTTCTTACAGAAGTGCTACCGGGGAGGCATGGCAGGAGATTATGCTTTCATGCCTCGAAGGGAAAGGTTGTGAGCCAGACACTACCGCAACATCTGGACAGAATGAGAATGAGAAATGCGGCACAGAACTAGCATACGTCTACTTCGTCTCCTTCATCTTCTTCTGCTCCTTCTTGGTGATTCCCTCTTTCCATTATTCTACAGATTTATTCTTTTTGTATTGTTTCCATCGGGTTAATTTAAAAGATGGCATGATATTCTTTAGTATTTCTCAAAGAGCTGTTATGTTACAAGGGAAGCAGCTGTAAACCCAATTAAAGAATCTCACTATCATGTGCAGAATTACATTGCAGCTCTCTTTTGTGCTTCCTCGTTTGCTGGTCCTCCACTTCTAGATCTGTTACTATCCTTTTCCCCTTATTATGTATTCTTCTTGTTTCCTTCATACACAGATGCTCAATCTCTTTGTGGCTGTCATTATGGACAATTTTGAATATCTGACTCGAGATTCTTCTATCTTGGGACCCCATCATCTTGATGAATTTGTCCGGATTTGGGCAGAATATGATAGAGCTGCATGGTACGTAGGCATATCTGGTTTTTTTTTAATGTTCTGTACAAAATCTGATTAGATGTGATATCCAAATCAAGTACAAATAGAGTGTAAATGCCCTTCTCCATCCTGCGGCTTCTAGATGTTCTTATTCAAAGGCCATCTGCACATAAACAACCTAATAATCTTACTTAAATTAATAATTCAGCCAGTTTCCACTTTTTAATGAAAAAGAAGTATATAGCCTTTGTGTTCTGACCCCCTCCTCTGTCCAGTAACGAAAGCCGAGACACACTTAATGAGAATGTCCTTTAATAGCAAGTCCAGACTCTCGGTGGCTGAAAGCCAAGTAAACAAACAGATAAGGACCTTGGCAGCAAGTCCGACAAACCTTGGCAGCAATTCAGACAAACTCTGGCAGCAATCCAGCCTGTTGTTAGTTTCTCGTTAGTCAAAGCATTGACTTCTGCAAGAAGGGCGTGGCACAAGCAGTCTCTTTATAGTCCGGAGAGGAGCGGAATGACCATCAGCTGAGCGTAATTACCTCCTGTAATTACATAGTTGTTCTTGATGCCGAGTAGCTCTTCGACGGCATGCATCCCGGAACAACTCACTGTTGGTTTCTGGGTCACTCTCCCTTGTCTCCTCCCCACTGATCCAAGGCTCAGGCGCCACCTGGTGGCCAACCAGTCTCT